GGGGAGCACCAGGCCCAGGCCCTGGGGACCTCCTGGCCCACCCCCTGGAGACGCCCAGCCCACAGGTGGTCATGATGGCTGCTCCAGGAGCACAGTGCAGTGGCCAGTCTAGCCCTGARGWRGGCRTCAGGAGTCTGGAACCTTCTCCTGGCTCCACCCTGCCCCACCCTCCTGGCCTCGGTTTCCCCATTCCCTGCTTGAAGCTCTGGGATGGCTCTGCTCAGGGCTCAGAGGAGCGGGGKTCTGCACACAGGACCCCACATCTGCCTGGAGTGTGGGGATCTGGTGCCCTGGCCTGGGACACCCTGCCCCTCGGGACCAGCTCTGCTCCACATCAGGGTCCCGGCAGGACCCCCCTGAAGCACGTGCCCAGGATGTGGCAACTTCCCAGAGACCCCCACCCCAGTGTCTCGGCCCGCCCTGGGGGTCTCGGCCCCCCTGCATCCCAGCGGGCTCTCAGGGGACCTCGCCCCTCACCTCTGAGCCTCAGCTCCTTCACCTGCTGACCACACAGGGGCATGGCCTCCACAGCCCAGTGGTGACCTCCGTCTGGTCCCCTGCTGGGCCCCGGTGCCTGCTGAGCTCCTTGGGGTGCTCTTCCCTCTGCTGCCGCCCCATAAAGCCCTCCCCGGGCGCAGGCTCACCCTCCAGTCTTCTGCGTCCCTGCGGTACTGGACCTCGAAGGCTGGCTGTATCTTGTCACTGTGCTCCGCTCCCCAGCACAGGCTGAAGCTGCTTCCATCTCTGGTCACACTGAGAGTCGGGCGCGCCATCTGGACTGAGGGGGAGAATTTCAGAGGTGGCCATGACACCCATGCTCCAGTGGAACCTTCCCTGTGACCCCTGGTGGCCTCCATGCTCTCGGTACCAGCCTGGTCCCCCAGGTCCCCCCTCTTGGGGGTCTTTGCCCTAATTCAGGAGTCAACATCTCCCGTGGCCAGAACAGCCCTCCCTGGCGAGGTGAGCAAGCTCCCTGCCGTCTTCACAGCCAGGGGCTGCCCTGCTGGATCCCGTGGTCACTGAGGAAGCTGAGCGTGGCCATCCCGAGCCTGAGGCCCTAGGTAGCCTGGGTGGACTGGGACCTTCTAGTAGCACTAGCCACAGGCACCTGCATTTGGGGAGCCTGGAGGGGGACAGGCTGCAGCCCCGCCCCTCCCCCCCGGCTCAGCCTGCCTTATCTTCATGGCAGAGGGCAGTGGACAGGGACTGTCCTACAGGGACAGGCACAACAGGCTCATCTTGGGAGGGCGGGGATTCCCAGGGACAGCCTCCTGCAGGGCAGGGACGAGGTGCCCCTCTCTTCTCAGGTCTTCAAAGCACAGAGGGCCAAGAACCGTCACGGTGATGAGCGCGTCCACCCACGTGGTTGTGGAGTTATTTCTGCTTCGAGTCCAAGGCCACGGTGGGGGGGCTCCTAACCCCTCCCCCCTCCCCATCCCCAGAAAGTCCACGGGGACCGGAGGTACAGGGTGGGGACTCGGGAGGGAGGAGCTTGTGGGGGAGACAGAGGGACAGACAGCGGGACAGACAGCGGACAGAGACTGTGGGCGAGGATGCCGTGTGGTCCTGAGCTCTGGCCCTGCGCCAGGCTCGGGAGCAGCCCAGTCAACAGGACAGAGTGTCCACGCCCCTGAGCCCCTGAGAAATGGGCTACATGRCAGGAGGCGGTCAGAGCCCTGGAGGCCAAGGTGGCTAAGGACCGAGCCAGGAGGCGTGGGCAGGGCAGATGGCAAACATGACCCAGAGGCTGCACAGAAACGGTGACATTGGAACAAAGGCCCAGAGGAGTGAGGGGAACCCAGTGCCACCAGGGCCAGGGGACAGCCAGGCTTGGGGCGGGCAAGAGATGGTCGAGAGGCTGTTGGGGGCGTCTCTCCGGGTGGCAGGAGTGCTGGGAAGGCTTGGGCAGAGGACGGGCACAGACGCGGTTGGTCACAGGGCGGCTGGGGGGGGAAGTTGCCACAGTAGAACCGGCAGGAAGGGAGATGGGCACGGAGGGCAGCAGGCGGGGGCCAGGACCAGGGGGGACCTGCGGCTGGACCAAGCAGAGCCCTAMCCAGAGGCAACCAAGGATCAGTGACAGGCACCAATTCTGGGCGTATTTGGAAGACAGAGGTGGCAGGATTTGCAGGTGGAGAGGAGGGGACATTTAGGAGCAGGAGAGGACCAGGAGGACCCAGGCTGACAAATAAAAAGCATAGAGACGATTGGAGAGGGGGCGAGAGGCGGACAGCGAGCTAGGAGGGACGATGGACGTTCTTTGGGGGCCATGCAGGCTGTGAAACAGTCAGTGGACACTGCGGGAAATGTTGAGAGGGCAGGGGACGAAGCAGGGCCATTCAGACCAGCGGCCTGGGATCCAGAGGAGGGTCCTGTGGCCAAGGGCAGCAAGTGCATTTCCAAAGAATTTCAAATGAAGATTTCAGGTATGTTTTGATCACTTTGGTCACTGGACCCCATTCCCTCTCAAGGGAGAACCGCAGGCCTGGGCAGGGGTACCGTGCACGTGCCCAGGGTCACAGTGGGGTGACTGCATCAYGGGGAGGACCAGCCGGCAGGCACCCCACGAGCCGGGGCCAACTCACTGTTGTCCGAGCTCTTGATGAACCTCCCCTCGCTCCGCGGACGGACAGAGACGACGTACAGGCCGYGGGCCCCGGGGTCGGGCACCGGGATCTGGCACCGGAGCCGGGTGTACAAGCCGCTGAGCTCCTCCTTCAGCACCGGGGCACATTCCTCCTCCCTGAGGGCAGGGACAGGGAGGGACACAGGGGGACC